GAATATGGAATCTGAAATGTCTTCCTGATTGGATATAGGAATTCGTCGATCGCTTTCAGTTGCGTGCCCCAGGAAATCATCGGAGAAGAAAGAGTCTTCTGATGAATCAAAGCCATTAGAGGCATCCGAGTAAAATGGAATCTGCTTTTGTTTGAGGAGATTGGTCAAAGAAAAACTTTGATTGTTGTCACAGACTGCCAAAATATCAATTTGGAAAAGTGCTTTGGATATTGAAGTAGTGTCCTTATTGGTTGCTGTGTTTCCAGCAATGAAAACTTTCAAATCCTATTGCACTGTTATTCCAACAAAATTAGAAAAAGTTGTTAGAAACTTAGATAGGCTGGATTTTTTTAGACCCATAAGAATTTTGATGAAGCTCCCTTTTTCCTTAGCAATCTTTAGGAATTTTCCAGATTTGTTGAGTTCAGTAGAAATTGTGATATGATCAAATCTGCGCCACTGTCTATCATTAGAATGATCTGCCCCTAAGATTTGTGATTTAAACCCGAATACAAGGGGAGCAAGGATGGAGATGAAATATATTTTGTGCAGCATAGATTTTTGAATTTCAAGAATGAAAAATTCATTGTTTTTTACTGCAAATTTAAAAATTCTAGATTCAACTAGAATAGAGTCGAATCCAGTTTCTCCAAAAAAAAAATAGAAAATTTCGGATTCCTGATGGAAGGGTATTGAAATCAAATGCTGGGTATCCTTGATGAGTAAGATGGTATCTGCAACTGCTGGGCAAAAATACCGGAAAATCAGTATACCGCACTTACCGTACCGCAAAATATCAGAAAACACCGGAGAATTGGTATACCGTCATTTTTTGTACGGTGTCATACTGTACCAGTTTATTTCGGTACGGTAACGGTAAATGATTTCAAATACCGCCGTATACCGGTATAATAGTACCGTACCGACTCACTATCCAACAAATACTTTAAATTCTAAAACATTGTAAAAGTTCATTGCGATTTTGAAGCCCAACATCGATTACAAATACTAAAATACGAAAAGAAAGACTCAATTCCCAAACTCATTACGATCTTCTAGGCTTCTACTACATAACATTGAAACAAACTAATCATAATGAGTAATGTAATAATGTCCAGAAACCAGTCCATCTTGTTCCTTAGAGATCACTATTCATTTAATTATATCTATATTGTTTAATTTATTTTAGGAGAATGTGTTATTTTATTAATACAAGTCATCTGGAACTGCTTAAATATACTAGTAATAATTATTGTTCAATATTGAATATGAAATCAGTAGATTATTAATTGGAGTTTGTAACATTTTAATACGGAGTAATAGATTAAATGTGTCGTTAGTAACACCGATTTAATATATTTTGTTAGCCTATAATAATTTGTTGTATTGTGAGACGTGCATGGTAATTTACCGATACCGTACCGTTATCGAACCAAAACTTCGGTATACTGAAATACGGTATACCGAAACTTCGGTAAGGTAACGCTATATAAATTTTGTATATCGAAAGTTTTAGTACGGCAAAGGTATGAAAGAAAATATTTGATATACTGTACCGAACCACCCCTACCTGCAAGAGCCAAATTATTGGAGTAACTGGCGAAACATGGAGAAACAATAAAAATCAAAAAGTAAAAGCTATCAACAAATTGAAACACAAGTAAACAATAAGCTACAAAAATAAAAATGGGGTGATAAAAATACTATTTAAAATTTTTCATTATTTTAAAAAATTTATATTTTAAATTTTTTCCATTTATTATTTTTTAAATGTTTGATATTTTAAGTTCTCACATTTAAATTTTTAAAGGTTTTAATATTTTACACTTTATAATTTAAATTTATTATTTCACTCTTATAAAATTTTATGATTTATATTTTGTATTTATATTTTGTATTTATATTTTACTTTATATAACTTAGTTTAAATTTTTAAGAGTTTTCAAATGTTATGAAGTCATGAGATATTTTAGATTTTTTGCTCTATACGTATTTTGATTTTAAATTTTTTTACTCTTTCATAAAAAAGATTCTAATTAATTTTCACTTTTTTTTATAATTTAACCTATTTTACACTTCTCGTTTATAATTTTTAGGTTTGTACGTTATTTAACCATATTTAAACTTTTTATTAAACTTTTTTTTTTATATTTGACTGTTTATAATTTTATATTTTGATATAAATGATATTAACCATTTTAAATAAGTTAAGTAGTACATTACAGGAGTTGCCTATAATTATTTTTCATGTTTCTCAAATTTTACTACCTAATATAATTTGAAATTCTATTTTGAAATATTTTATTTATGAATTTGAGGTTTTTGCTCATTTTTTGGACTTTTATTACATCTCTAAATTGTTTTCAAAACTTACTACATTTTTTACTATTCAAAAATAAACATAAACTATTTACTTTATTAAAAATGTGTCACTAATGAGGCCTTACGTGCATAGTGCACTACTGCACTTGTGTGGAGAAGAAATTCCTGTAAACCGTCTGTTTCATACTAATGTCTTATTTATGAAAATAAATTTTAACTAGGCTTTTTCGAAAAGAATTTTCAATGGTGACAAAAGTGATATTATTTTCACTTTTAAGTCTATTTGTGTAATTTTCTCAAATTATTTCCTAATGAGTCATAGGGTCCGTTTGTTTTTTGGCGGTTGCACAACAAACCGCTACAAAGAGCAGCGTTCAGCTTTGTAAATAATTGGCGGTTAGGCCTAAGCCGCCAATATTCAAACAAGGGCATATTTTATAAGTTACCCAAAACACCCGAAGTCGTCCAAGTCCAAGCCAAAGTCTATGTCTAAATCAGGGGCCAAGCCCATTCCTAAGCATGACCCATGGATGCGCATGTGATTACCTTGCTACTATGAGTTATAAGGATGGCAATGGGGGCGGGGACCCGTGGGGAACCGCCCCCGCGGGGGAAGGATGGGGCGGGGCTTGGGGTGGGGCGGGGGACGGGTATTGCTACACCCGCCCCATCCCCGCCCCGTCCCCGTTATACATATATACTCAAACATATATATATACATATATAAATAATGTACACACATATTAAATTAAATTATTTGTAGTATATAACAAACGCATATACATATAGACATATATAATTGTATACGGTTTAATCATGGTTAATGAATTAATACATATTATACTAGAATAATAATAAGCTAGTGATGATTAAAAATATTTATCATAAATGTTACTTCGTATATGAGTTTTAAGAGTGAGAAAGTGAGTAAATAAATACACACACACATTTATATGTAATATAATACGTAGTATGTAATTAATTGCATTATAATTGTTGAGAATTTTGAAACAACTTACAATCGTACATGATGATAATATGTTTACTTATATTTTTACTTTAATTGTCTTCAATTCACAAAATTTATTTAAATTGAAGAAGTATTAAAATTGGTGGTATTAACTTTTAACAAACACAATACTTCAGTGTGTGTGTAAGTGTATCATATATCACTTTGTGCGTGTAGATATATATAGGTTTAGGATCAAATGAGAACAACGTTTAACAGGAGAACGTGTGAACACCACATTTACCCCCAAAGAGAAGCACAATGGGCTCACACAATGCATTTTTTTGCATCTAGCATAATATTTACAAAAGTGTCACCGCGATTATTTTATATTAGCTTGTATTGAGCGAAGTCCAAATGTGCACTAGAATGGCTCTATTGTGTATCACATTGGATTATTGTGTATCACATTGGATTAAATGTGAGTGTTCCCACGTTAACCATCGTTTTCATTGGAATCACACTACATTTATTTATAATAAGAGATTAAAAGTATATGCAAATACGATAAATTAAATCTACATGGGGGCACCCGTGGGGGACAATGGGGTGGGGCGGGTCTGGGAGTAACGGGGGATGGGGCGGGGATGGGGTAAACTTTTTAGACATGGGGCGGGGGATGGGGGATTGTACCCCCGCCCCAAATCCGCCTCATTGCCATCCCTAATGAGTTACTTTGGGAGGATAGTAATGGCGATCTAAAACTCATTTTTGCCTTTTTCTTTTCTTTTCTATTGTACAAAATAAATCACACAAAACTTGGAGGTCTAAATTTCAAATCCATGATGAATCTTATATTTTAAATAAACCTTTACAAATTGTTGTTTGGGATAAATATCTCATCTCTCCACCTTTTCTTCAACTATGTCTAACTTTCAACATTAATATTCATTCACCACAATTTGATTTTTGAAATGGAAAATGCTAGAGGTACACAAAATGTGTACACAAAATGTGTACACAAAATGTGACAGACTTATCTGTGACAGACAACTTGTGTGTGAAGGACAGATATGTGTACACAAAATGTGTACTTGTGTACCTCTAGCAAAAATCTTTTGAAATATCTTATTCAATGTTAAACTCAACTTTTAAAATGCATAATGTATTTAGCAATATGGCAAATAAAATTCACCTAAAGTTGTCAAAAAAATGGTGCCTCAACACCATTTCCATATGAGCCTAACCTTATTCCATAATAAAGAGTTTTTTTAGATTCTTCCATAATAAAGGTTAATGAGTAGAATTAGTGAGAAAATTTGAGAATAGGGCTCATAACAGGAAAAAGAAATGGGAATGACTAAGTTTATTGAAAATTCAGAGGGGTTTTTGGAAAATGTTTCAAAAATAATTAATTGCCTCAGCTTTCTATCCATCTCTTTCCCCTTAATTTCATAAACCATATTTCTTGGTCTTTCCCTGGTTCGTGGACCACAGCACAACCTTTTTTGCACAGCTGGCTTTCAGCCTTGAATTTTGTTGATTTTTAATTTTATTTCCATAAAAAGGGCTTAAGAGTAACTTTCAGGAAACATTAATTGATGCAAATACACATTTAACGATACACTCTCTTATCCTCTGAAATAAAAACTCTTTAACTATTTTATATTAATGGAAATTACTTCCAGTACACGGAGTATATAAGCTGGCTTTTGTCAGCTACTCAGTTGGGAAAGACAATAAACTATATAGAGAGAGAAACGAAAAAATAAACACAAAAAACTAGTAGTAATAAACAAAGAGTTTGAGTTTGTTCAATCACACACACTGCTTCAGAAAAAAAGAAAAACAAAAAAGAACCCACCTTTATCTTCTTCCTGTTCTTTCAAGGAAAACAAGAATCAGAGCAAGGAAGCACAGTATAATTGGTCCCTATCTCTGTCTCCTTCCCTCCCTCCTCTCTATATTTATATATATCCACATATATATATATATTAAGATATATTTGTTTAATGGTTGTTGAGCGTATTGGTGCATATATGGAGGGTGTTTGATGGATCTGTAGATCTAACCCTTTGAGAAAGGCTTAGTTTGATTCAGATCTCAGTCCTTTTCAGTTAGCAAGCTTGAAGAATTGACTATAAAACTGTGAGTCTTCTCTTTCTATCTATAGTTTCATAGTCAACAACACTTTGAGGACCTTTTATTACTGTTATCTTGCTATTGGATTTTATATTTGTCTGTATGTTACAGCTAATTGTGTTTGTGTCTTTTTCTTTTCTTAATGAGGTTTGATGGTGTGACCTTTGAGTTGACTGGTTCTTAGTCTTGATAGAGATTTACTTTTGTAGTTGAAATAGACTGGATAATTTGATTATAGGCTTTTGAATGATGCTCTATCTGATAAAGTTAACATCTTTACTCAATATAGTGATTCTTGAGGTTCATGGTAATTGGGGTTGAGTTTGAATAATCCCAGACTTCCCTTTTGATATGTAGGGTACTAGTGAGAGAGAGACTGGGGAGTTAGGAGATTTTGGTCAAGAGTGATCTTAGTTGCATCCAATTTTGGATGTTGAAAAATCGGCAGTAATCAGGGGTGAAATGAGGGATGCTATCAAGGTTAATAAATATACTGAGGGCATGTTGGCGGCCATCGTCGGGTCTGCATTCGGGTTCTGATGCTGCTGGGCGGCAGGATGGACTGCTTTGGTACAAGGACAGTGGTCAACATTTGATTGGTGATTTTTCAATGGCTGTTGTCCAGGCCAACAATTTGCTGGAAGATCAAAGCCAGGTTGAATCTGGTTCGCTAAGCTTGTTTGATTCTGGCCCGTATGGAACATTTGTAGGAGTGTATGATGGCCATGGAGGACCAGAAACGTCCCGGTTCATCAATGATCATCTTTTTCAGAATCTCAAAAGTAAGAAAGTCTAGACCCTTAAAGGGTCCATTTGGATCCTGGCAAATGCTAGGGAAATATAATACCAAGGAAACCAGAAGAAAATTGGGAGGAAATAAATTTAGGGAAAAATTAAAAGTAGGCTGGAACTCAATAAAAAGTAGGCTAGAAGTCAATAACTTAAATTTGCAATGGAGCGAAAGATTCATTACTTTTTGGCTTGAGAATATGATAGAATAAAGCAAAATGACTCACTTAACTGTCTGCGCTTCTGTTTTCAAAAAAAAAAAAAAACTGTATGCGCTTCTTTGTTATGAAGCAGCAGCCAGTCCATGCTCTTTCAGTCTTTTGGCCGCGATTTTTACTATGGCTCATCCGGAAACAGTCTCTCTGTGCTTTAGTACAGGGGTAAGACTGCGTACATCCGACCCCCCCTTACGTCACCGTAGGTGGGAGCCTTTGCAGCACTGGGGTAAATAAAAATGAAAAAAAAATGAAAAAACGCTCAACAACTACAACATCTTCCAATCCTTGGTCCTAAAAGAGTTTGGGGTTAGGTAACATGAATCGACACATGAAATCGAAGATATATAAAAATAATTTTTTCTCAAATATTTAGAAATTTATTTCCCTACCATTTTTGAATTCCAAACAGACCATAAACGAGCTGATTTATGCGGAGAGCTCTTTTCCAGAATCTTCCAACTTGTTTGGTTCTTATTTTCTCAGTATGTATGTCAGGGGTTACAGCAGAGCAAAATTCAATGTCAGTGGAGGCAATATGTAAAGCATTTCAGTCAACTGAAGACGGATTTCAATCTGTGGTAGCCAAACATTGGCCAACAAATCCACAGATGGCTGCAGTGGGATCTTGTTGCCTTGTTGGCATTGTCTGTGAAGGGATCCTTTACATTGCTAATCTTGGGGATTCACGGGCTGTGTTGGGGAGGTCAGTGAAGTCAACCGGAGAGGTTCTTGCCATTCAACTCTCGACTGAGCATAACGCGAGCATAGAGTCTATCAGACAGGAACTTCATTCAATGCATCCTGATGATCCACATATTGTTGTCCTGAAGCATAATGTTTGGCGTGTAAAGGGTGTGATACAGGTACGTTAATATGTTCTCTTTAACGGGTACTAAGAGTTCAGTCTGTTATTAACTATGTTTCTAAGGGTCCGTTTGTGACAAATAAAATGCTTAGAAAAGAATAAAAAAAAATGAAATGAAAGAAAATCTTGAAGGAAATGGAAAATTTGTTCGCAGCCAAGAGTTGTAGTTATTATATGTTCAAATCCATTTTTATTTACTACTATTATATAAATACCAAGCAATCCAAATATATGTAAACAAATAATAATAACATCATTCATATTTCACATCCCTTTTGCATTTCCCCTGGTAAACCCAAACATAAGAAAATAACATTCCTTAGCTTTTTCTTTCCTTTCCCTAGGATTTTTCAGGAGCAAAACATAGCATAATGGGTCTGCCTCTTTGCAAGCCTATTTACTGAAGAAGTCATGATCTACTGCTATTTTACTAAGTTAGGCTCCATTTTGAGCTTATTCTGGTTCCATATGGTAGTCTTATACTCCGTAATACTTATCAAGGGTATAAAAACACGTAGTTTTTTTTTTAATTTATTTGGTGGTTGAGATAATAGATGTTACAAACTGGTTTTTGCGTAACAAGATACAGAAAAATTTATCCAAATCATCCTTTACCGAACTGGCCCTTACACCTTACTGAGTTGCTTTAACACGTAAGAAAGAATTGTGTTTAATGTTGCTAGAATATGCATATTTACTAGCTTTTGCAATTGCATATGAAGCCATAACTGCAGACCTGAATTGAGCATAAGGAGAGGATACTAAATTTAATATGTTAATTGAATTGTGTTCAAGAAGTTTCTTGTACCTTTGAGCTAATTAAGGTACTATTAGAGCTGACCTCTGAAGGTCCTAATTTTTCTTTTTGGGTCCATTTGGAACACGTAGATGCTATGAAAAGAAAATAGAAAGGAAAATATAGGAGCAATGTCAAATGAAAGAAAATCTTGACAAAAATGAAACATCAGATCACACTCAATAATTCTTTTATATTTTCTTTGAATTCATTTTCATTTATTTGTTTTATCATGTAAACACTATCAATCAATCATCATTTACCCCAGTGCCGCAAAGGCTCCCACCTACAGTGGGGTAAGGGGGGGTCGGATGTAAGCAGTCTTACCCCTGTACTAAAGCACACCCCTGTACTAAAGCACAGAGAGACTGTTTCCGGATGACCCATAATGAAAATCGCGTCCAAAATTGCATGGACTGACTGCTGCTTCATAACAAAGAAGAGCAAACAGTTTGGTGAGCCATTTTGCTTTATTCCATCATATTCTCAAGCCAAAAAATAATGAATCTTTGGCTCCATTTCAAATGATGGAACTATGTAAACACTAAGCAATCAAAATATATGTAAAAATTGTAAAAACATTAATCAAAATATATGGCAAATCCAAACATAAGCAAATAACATTCTAGCATTTCCTTTTCTCTCATAAGCATTTTCCTTTTTAATAATTGCTTTACGAAAAGTGTTCAACAAAACGGATTTCCTTAAACATTCATTACCTTGATTTATTAAAGAGTATTAAAGTCATGTCTTTGATTTTGATAATATGAATGGTGATGGTGATGCCTCATATGCCATTGTGATTCCTACTGGAGCGAATGACTAGCTTGTTTAGATTTCACTCCCTTGATGCCTCAAGTGGCTTTTGTAGGTTTCAAGATCCATTGGCGATTTCTACTTAAAAAAGGCAGAGTTCAACAAAGAGCCTTTGTTTTCCAAATTTCGCTTGCGGGAGCCTATTAAAAAGCCACTATTGAGCTCTGAGCCATCAGTTTCTATGCATGAGCTTGAACCGCACGATCAATTTCTCATATTTGCATCTGATGGTCTTTGGGAACACCTCAGTAATCAAGATGCAGTTGATATTGTACACAATGGCCCTCGAAATGTAAGATCATCTCTACGCTAAAAAAAGATATGGTATAATAAATTTGAGGGTTCTATGTTTGGTGCTTAGTTCATTTTCAGGTAAGAGTTTGGGGAAACATGAATGGCATTTAATGTGTTTATGTTATATATGCAGTAGAAGATTTTATTTTTTAGGGAATGAGTAAAGGATTCAGAATAATTTTTTCAAAACTGATCCCTACACTATTTTCAGCTCCAAGTGTTTAGAAAGGGTTAAGAGTTTTTGAAAAGGGAAAACTGTCAAATAGGTCCTCGAACTTTCATAAAAAGGTCAATTAAGTCCTTCTATAGGAGGTTCTGTCCGGCCGTCGCGATTTGGGGCAGTTCCCGGTGGAATTTTTTGATGAAATTTTTTTAGCATCTTATTCACCAAGTCTAGTTTACTCATACCAAATTTCAGCTAACAATTCAATCGGGAACACATTCAAATTAATTCTTGAAGATAATTGCGCATTTTTGCGTTCTCGAATTAATTTGAATGCGCTCCCGATTAAATTTTTAGCTGAAATTTGGTATGAGTAAACTAGAATTGATGAATAAGATGCTAAAAAAAGTTCATCAAAAAATTCCAACGGGAACCGTCCCAAATCGCAATGACCGGACAGAGTCTCCTATTGAAGGACTTAATTGACTTTTTTATGAAAGTCCGAGGACCTATTTGACAGTTTTCCCTTTTGAAAAAGAGTAAACAATACCCAGAGGAGAACTGGAAAAGGAGCCCAAATTATTTGCGGAGAACTAGAAAAGGAGCCCAAAATTATGCAATACCCGTCATTTTACTTTTGTATTTGGCCATGGATGGCTTCCATGCTTTACGAGATATTGACTCATCAGACTACACTAACCATAAAATTTGTATGCTCATTTTGAGTTCCCTTCTAAATGGTAGAACTCATAGGTGTATTCTGAAATCGTATCATGTATTTGGCTGATATGTAATGTGTCTGCAATAGCCAAAAGAACAAAAAAAATGTCAATGCCTTGGATTTGTTACAATGCATCTTTGAAAGAGGGATTCATTTATAGCAATATTCTAAAACCCCCAACTTAGAATATGTTTTTCATGAAAATAACATGTTAGTGGACAATCTTTATTTAAATAGGAAACATAATTTTGTGTCTTGGAAAATGATACAAAAGATGCAGGGAAAGACATTACTTATATGTGTGATCCTCCATTCAGGGAAGTGCTCGAAGGCTAGTGAAAGCTGCATTGCAGGAAGCAGCAAAGAAAAGAGAGATGAGATATTCTGACCTCAAGAAGATTGACCGGGGGGTGCGCAGGCATTTTCATGACGACATCACAGTTGTTGTTTTGTTTATGGACCCAAACCTTGTAAGTAGGGCCAGCTCTTTAAGGGGTCCCACTATTTCCGTGAGAGGAGGCGGTTTTAAACTTCGGGCTAAAACGTGATTTGGTCCAGACCGGTCTCGGGACCGGAACCATGGCCACCCTTAATTCCACGGGTAGTAACATCATCATTTGGTTTTGGTTCATCAAAGAGCAAAAACACTAGCTAGAGAGAGGTCTCAACTAATTTTAATTCTTTTGTTGTAAAATGTAATCCTTTTTTTTAACAACTCTTAAACATGCATCTTCTTTGTTTGTCTCTTTTCACGAAAATTAAATTTATACTCTAATAATAATTAGTTTAAGAAAGTACTTGCGGAATCGACTCTGAGAGTAATGCTTCAAGCTATTAGAAACAAAGTGCTAATAATTGGGGAGTGTTGGTTCGGGATTCGCAGAAGCTTTTGGCGGAAGAAATATTTAATAGGATGCAACATATTCATTGAGAGGCAATAAGTGTGCAAACATCTTAGGGAATGCGGTTCATCAATCATCTAATGGGTTGACTATTTTACAAGAGGTTCCTAGTTGGATTAAGAATCTAATAGGGCAATTGATAATATGTTGCATAGTTGATTAGGGGTGGACTTGGGCCGGGCGGCCCGGCCCGGAACCGGCCCGGTACTGTTTGGGCCCCGGCCCGGACCGGTACCCGGTCTTGGAGCCGGTTCGGGCCAACCGGAACCGGTCAGTTCCCGGTGCGGGCTCGGGCCCCCTAAAACGCGGCCCGGACCGGCCGGTTCGGGCCTAATTTTATTTTATTTTGTTTTTTCAAGTTTTTTTTATTTTACCAGGTTGGGTTGGGTGTTTTGGGGGGGTTTGGGGGGTGGGGGGGTGAGGGGGGGGGGGGGTCGGGAGTTGAATACAAAAGCAAAAGAAAATTAAAGAAAAATAAGCCCGAACCGGAACCGGCCCGGTTTGGGCCCGGCCCTGCCCAGAACCGCCGGCTACCCGGGCCGGTTCCGGTTCCACCTTTCCCAAATAAAAGTCCGGCTGGGCCCAGGCCCGAACCGGAACCGGCCCGGCCCGGGTCCACCCCTATGTTGAATATACAAAAAAAAAAAAACAAAGAGGCCAGATGAAAGAGAAACAGTTAAAACGTATGTATAGTATGAGAGAAGTGTGTATACATTTTTGTGCATCAAGCATTTTGATTAAATCCGACAGTTAGCTCATGTTGTACTCTGTAGTAGTTATACAAAAAAAAAAAAATCAGACTAGTATTACTGGCTCCTCTTGGAATTGGTTAGCAGGTGTACGACTTGCAAATCAACTCATCAAGAGTTCGATGCCTGGTACCGGATCAAGTTAAGAGAGAGCAGTATAAGGTATTCTTAAATACCTTCCTTTTGTACGTAGTGTTTGAACTTGTTTTTTTGTCAATTTGTCATCAATTACTAAATACAATATTTTCTTACATTGAATGCAAATACTAGCCTCTTTTTATTTCTTTTCTATGATACTAGCAGTCTAGCCGTGCGATGCATGGTGAATATTATCATTTAAAATACAATATTTTCTTACATTGAATGCCAATACTAAAATGATTTAAAGTTTTCAATGTATGTTCATATGAAGAGGTGTTATATCAACATAAACTTTGTAGTCAGTCCAAAAACAGTTGAAAACTAATATACTCAATTACAAAACTACAAACTTTGGAATGCTTCTATGTAAACGACATTGTATTCACTATCTCATTTTTGGGTCATCATGAATATTTGAAGTATCACCAAATCACTACAATTAGCATAGGTTTTAGGAATACTTCTGTATGCCCCTAAAATTGAAATATACATCTGATCATGACAAATGATTAGTTTTTCAAGAGCAACCCAACATGGCAAAGTGCGTTCTCGCTGAAATATACGTCTGAAAATGTCATGTTTCTATACGAAAATGTCATTATTCGTATCAAGTGGCTTTCTCCTTGGAGTTTGCAAGGACTTGCCGCAGAGTGGGGGGCTTCATCGAAGGATGGTGTCGACGGATGCAGCAAAGAACGACAGCGGTGGCAGACTTGCTCGAGGGTGGATGAGGCCTTGTGCCTGTGGTTATCGCACAACATCCTAGAACCTATGCATCAGCGGATTGCTTGAGGGGAGTCTGGGAGCTTTCTAATTTTTTCATTAAGGGTAATTTTGTCATGTTAATACACTTTTAGTCCTATAAAACATAACAATCCTATTGTCGCAATTCTACCTTATTTTAGTCCAAATTAGGGAATTCCCTCTTAAATATTTTGGAGTTTTAAACTTTTTCTTATATTGATTATTGATTAATAAGATTATTTGATTAGTTTATTAACTGATTACATGATATTTTGATTGTTATCTATTGAATGTTGGTGTTATAGTTTGTTGACTTTGTTAGGTAAAAATCTTCAATTATAATTGGATTTATAAATTTAATTAATTTCAAGGTGTAATAAAAATGATTGAATCTGGATAGGAGAAAAAAGAGGAGAATAATAGAGGAATTGACACTGGGTAAAAAAGGTTCAATGGAAATGTTTATTTGTGTAAAGAAATCAAATTCTCAATGTCCTCAAGATGAGAACTCAAAGAAGAAGGATGATTTAACTACCGAAAATAAAACGGTTCAGAATGATCACATCATAGGTGGGGGAAACGAGGAGTTGACAATATTGGTTTAGACAGAAAAGAGTTTTACAAATTTTTATAAATATCTTGAAATATTATTATTAGGGAAAAATACGGAAAATATACATGTGTTCGGGCCCATTTTCAAATAGGAGTCTATGTTTCATTTCTTAACAAGTATACGGTGAACATTAACTCAGATTCTTAAAAGTGCTCGAAAAGTTAAAATAAAAATATTGGAAAGTACGTCAACGAGAGCTCTAAGCGGTCTTATTCTTTGGACTAAAGGTCTACATATACCACCCAAAGATCCAAAGAATGTGGAATTAGCAATTAGCCCAATTGTGAAATTTGATTAAGAAAGCACTTTATTGTTCTATATGCAATCACAAATTTGCTATTTACAGCCATCACATAAAATTTTATAAACACGGTACCTTTGAAATATCTATCCTACCCTTGTCAGTCTTACAGATATAACCTTCAATATAACCTTCAATAAGTCTTCCTTTTAAAGGCACTACGTTCAAGCATATCATAGATTGCTATGAATTTGGATTCTCCCTTTGCCACTACCAGTATTCTGCCATCTAATTTGTTATTCGGAATCATAACTAAACAATAAAACACATAACTACATAACAAATTTACATTTTCTCTTGATTAAATCAATGAATTCATTAATCAGCAAAGAGGAAGAAGAAAATCTCATGATAGAGGTGGCAAGGGAAAACATAGCGTGAATTGATTGGAAAAAATCATAGTGGAAAATAGGGGTGGGCAATTCGGTTTACGGTTCGGTTTTTTTCGGTTTCGGTTCGGTTTCGGTTTATTCGGGTTGGGAGAATTTGTACCAAACTAAAACCATTTGTGTTTCGGTTTGGTTTCGGTTCGGTTTGGTTTGAAGTTCGGTTTACCAAAGTAAAAAATATTATGTTTAATTTAGTTTGATTTGATTCGTTTGCTTATGTTTATTACTACCTCCGTCCCATATTAAACTTCCAATTGCGGGTTACGAAGTTTGACCAGCGATAAAGTTAAATGATCCCTGTGAAAACTCGGATTATTTTTAGAAAATAAAATTTACATATTCAGAAACTACATCAAACCCGCTACAAAGCCTGCAAAAAAAATCACTTTTTATAAAATTTTGATATATAAAGTAAGAGTTTAAGTGTGATTTAAGTTGACCCTCGAAAAGCGAAATGGAAGTTTATTTAGGGACGGAGGGAGTATTTTATTTGATCAAGTTCTATATTTCAGAATTAGAAAATGAAAGTAGTAGTTCATCTCATCTTTTTTAATTTATTGATTATTTAAATAAAATGTAAAAGGAAATAAAAGATAGAAAAATAAATAATAAAATATTATAAATTGAAACTTCTAACATCTTTTTTATCACTACAAAAAATAAGATAGTTGATTAGCATTTATAATATCACATAAAATATTCAAAAATCCTAAAAGAGTCGGTGGTACAAATGTTGTAATATTCAATTATTCACAATTTTATTCAAATGAATCATGTTAAAATATAAATGCAATTTGCTATTTGTTATCGCCAAACATAATAAATACAAATATGTCGTATTAGCTAACTTTGTCATAATGAATGTATGAAATGTGTAAAAGTTAAAATGATACGAGTATATGCTTAAATATGTATTTTCATGTCCAAGTTATTTATTTATATCTTAAAAATGAAGAGTGAAGATAAATAGAAAGTGTATCTATGTTGTTCGGTGTTCGGTTCAATTTACGGTTTTTCCGTTTTAAACCAAACCAAACCAAAGTACCAAACCATTCGGTTTGAGCATATGTTTACCAAACAGTTTACTTAAGTAAACCCAAACCAAACCAAAGTACCAAACCATTCGGTTTGAGCATATGTTTACCAAACAGTTTACTTAAGTAAACCCAAACCAAACCAAATCAAACCACCAATTTTTATAATATATGAGTTTTTTTTGAGTTTCTTTAGTTTGGTTCGGTTCGGTTCGGTTTAATACGGTTTGAAAGAAATAGTACCAAACTCAAACCAAATTGCATATGGTCCGGTTTCGGTTCGGTTTAGTTCGGTTTGGTACGATTCGGTTTGGTTAAACCAAACCATTATGCCCACCCCTAGTGGAAAAACAAACGAGATTTTCTTTTTAGATGTAACCGTAGTTTGGACTGATTTACAGTTTCAATTAGATCTGGCCACTTGAGATGGTGATGAGTTATAGCAGAGCCTTCAAAGACAGCAAGTTGGCAACAAGGATGATGCATGTCGGCAATGGGATACAACATGGATTTTATTTATATTTAATTTATTAATATTAATTAGGGATTGTGCTTAGCAAAATTATGGCTGCATTTAGAATTACCCCTTTAGTAATTTCAAATTATTATGTATTGACTAATTTAGTATATAATTAGTCTTGGACTCGTTATGAAAAGGGTTATAATTTTCGTCCTACGACTACATTACTAAGAACACGATGAAAAATAAGAGCCAAAGTATCAAGGAGCGTGCAAGATATGTATGAGGTAACCGAGAATAGCTGATCTAACATTTTTGTCTTGTTAATGATTGTGAACTAAAGGTTTTGAATCAGCCAAAAGATAAAGCTTTGATGTTGTTGTTCACTTGATCCTGCAAGAGGGATAAACATGGTTTGTCTGGCATTTACAAAATTTAGTCCTGCAAGATGGACAATTACACACAATTTAA